GAGTCATGAGGTTTCGTGGTTTTGATGGCATGCAACATGTACGCACTGCGTACCTATTTTTCTGAGTTATGAGACTTTCCAAAAAGAGTTAAGAGATTTTATGATACAAATTATGTAGAAAAAATATTAAATACATTTGCAAATTTATTTTCAAGTACCCACGACTTACTTTTGACAGTTAAAATAAGCATTATCAAAGCTAGCTTGACTGCCATATACGTGCTCATATAAATGCCCAACAAAAAGATGCGATGACGAAAATCACATCACTTGAAAAAGTCAATTTATTCATGTTTCAGAAGGAATAAAACAAGGACTAAAAGCTCAGGATAAATAACAATACCTGGGGGTTAGTACAAACTAAGTTTTTGGACTGTCAAAATGATTTATAGTATATTTTTTCGAGTTGAAGAGCGAGGTTTCCTTCGGCACGTCCAAACTTCGTCATTTCTTCAAAATACAAAAGCAAAACTCCTCACTTTTTGCTGCAGAGAGATGTAAAACAGTCGGAACTAAACCTGGTTTGAATCCCAATCATAGCAGCATTCCCATGGAAAAAGTGTTTTTCCTGCACATTTTTGCTCGAAAACAAACTTTTGATCGAATTTTTTCACTCCTCGAAACTCGCCTTAGTCCTTTTGAAAGCTGATTTTCCCGCGCGTCGGCTTCAATGAATCATTATCATAGGCCTTCATCACAGGAGTTAGCCTTCCAGTTTACTTATAGTTCAATGGTATACACGCGTAAAAATTATGAGCCTGCAGTTTAACAGGATTGTGCGGCCCACATTGTTCACACTTGTCAACAATATTGAACAATATTGTTGAACAATATTGTTGAGCCTATATCGGGTGTAACAATATAGTTCAACATTGTTGGCAACTGTGAACAATGTGGGCCGCACAACATTGTTACCTCCGCCAGGAGGTTATGTAATCATCTGGGTTTGTATGTTTACCTCCGCCAGGAGGTTATGTAATCATCTGGGTTTGTATGTGTGTGTGTGTGTGTGTGTGTGTGTGTATGTGTGTGTGTGTGTGTGTGTGTAT